ATGTCTTCCTCTTCTGGACCATTTTCTCGATGGTATTTACCCGTACGTCATATTTATTTCATGCCACAGTGTTCTGTGTAAGGTATTTTTTGGGCCTGTTCTTCTGGAGTCCAGTGAGGTGCTAATCTTGCAATAATTGGATATAACAGATCACCATCAAAAATTCTATTTGAGCTCACATTGTATTTGTTTTTAGGGATGAATTCTATTCTACTGTACGTTGGTTATGGCATACTGTACAATCGATTCCCCTTCACATGGAAAACTGACGAGTATGTCACGCATACAGAGAAACTATCYATGAATCTCCTGGCAACGGCCCTTTGGGTCCTCATTTCATATTACTTGTTCCAAAAGAAGTTTTTCCTGAAAATATAGTTCGACTTTTAGTTTGATCTAGTGCACACCTTTTCAGTATTTCTACCTATATTYATACAACTTATTGCACAACTGTTGTCCAAGAAAAAAGGGAAAAAATGGTCATCTTTTATATTTTACAATACAATTTCGAGTTCTGGTTTGCTCTGTGTTAGCCTCAGAACGAAGAAACGTATTGTTTTGTTTTATTGATAGCCCGATAAAACGCATGGAATTTGAAAAGAAAGACATTGGAATTGATTTGAAATCTCACACTTTTATTCTCACAATTAGGAATATTTTGCGCACAAATGAGGCTAACACAGAGCATTGGAGAATTCGAAACTGGATTATTAAATTAAGTCGAGCAAAAGTAGAGTAAGAGACGAGGATTTCATATCGTACTGACTTGAATCTCTTAATCTTCGTGCGTTGTTTTTAGTAGTTGACAAGGTTAAAACGTAATTTAGGTAAAACTTTTTATCGTTATCAAATTTGCCAATTGTCTTGGTAACGTTCCATATTACACAGGAGATAAGACAATCAGAGCGCGCGCAAACCTTGTTAATACGCCCACCTCGTTAATACGGGCAGCCGGATTAACGAGCCTTTGTTTGAAAGAATATGTTTTTAAAAACTTCGATGTCTCACATCTGGTCTTAAAAGTAAAAAATTTCATATATCTACATTGTATATGCTATCGGTCAGAAAGGATTTTATTTTGAATCTTTTTTTTATTCCTGGCAGTCAGGGCTGTTGATAAAAAGTTTTGGTAACGTTCTGAGGGAAATTTCATACTAAATATAATCAGCCAATCAGAGCGCGCACGTACTAAGAACAGTGCGACTTTATCTATATATTCATTCTTCTATATAATCTATGATACAGCCTTTTGCAAAAATTACGAGAATTGTTGAAATATCTAAATATCATAATATCGAGTGCATGATGGGTAATCCCGCGCGATGCCCTTAGTCCCTTGTCTTTGTAGTTTAGTTTTTTTTTGGCGACAGACTTATCCGTAGTTCTGAACATTTTCTCGATGTCAACAATGAATTATTCTAGCAAACCCGCGTGTTCCGGACAATATATGGATATGGATATTATGATATTTAGATATTTAGACAATTCTCATAATTTTTGCAAAAGGCTGTATAAAAGGCAAATAAAAAAAGATTATTATGGAATTCCTTTGTCAGTTTCTCAACCAGCTCGTCCAGAATTCACACTAGACATCGCGGAAATAGAGGAAATACTGTGTTTCGATTCCTCTACATTTATCAAGACGCCTTCCTTCCCTCGATCTTAAGATTTCACTATCTTAAAAGCTCAAAGAGTAATGTGCGTCTCCGTTCAAAATGTATTGATGCTATTTCTATAATTCCTATCAGTGCTGTGTTGGTCAACGATGGATTTTCTCTACTCCAACAAAGGCAAACATATTCGCATGAAATAAAGTCAAAGGAAATTCTTCCGCAATCTCTCCTTATATGAGACTTCAAACCCTATGCTAACTTCTAAGTGGATTTTGTTGTTTTCGCAAATGCAAACGGGAGTCCTGTGTCCATTTCACCCTTTGGAATGCCCTTTGGTCTCTCTCTTTTGTTTTCACATCCCACGGTCAGATTGAATGAACGCTCAAGCTTCTTGAGAATAGCAGTACGTTTGAAAGCCAAAACTTCTATTTTCAGAGACCCAAAGGTAGTTCAAAATTTTCATTTCCCACTTTGCCTCATTCTTTCAGAGACCAACTCGATCCTCGTTCAGGCCGAATATGACCTAAAATTCATAAACTATCGACATACAATCTAAACCTAATCAAACTTTATCACATTATTACTCTTTTGTTAAACAAGTTGACAACAAGAGATTTCGACAAGAGACATGTAATATATTCAATAACATATAAAAACTGTAGTGAGCAATCTAATAAATTATTCTTGAAAATGACGCGCGATGGCGTCGAAACGTCGAAATCTCTTGTTGTCCTAACTTGTTTAACTAAACTCATTAAGCACAAACAACTAATTCGTATTACTCTTTGTTTGTTTGTTGTTTTTTTTTGATTTAACATGTATTCGCCATTCAAACAGATACTAATAAAACCAANGACACAAGACGCGTGGCGGGAAAACACTAATCAGACGTGGGTGGGTGGGGTAGCAAGGCGTGTTTTGTTATGATAAACAAGGGTGGAGACTCTTAAAGAGTATTGTAGTGCAAGGGCAAATCCTTTAAGTATATTTTTTTCTTTTTACTTATTTTTTTCTTTTTCTTTTTGGTGTTGTTGTTGTTCTGTAACTTCGTTTTGTTTAGTTTTTTTTAAAGAGGGTTTTTGTACAATGAGGGTGATTTTAAACTGGCAAGATCGAGAAATATTGCTTCACGTCCTAGCCCTTCAGATCAATAATTAAAGAAATATCTATTGTATTCATAAAAGGGGATTTGCAACCCCTATAAGCCCTTCTCGAGACTCGCTCCTGCCAAACGGCACTAAGGCGTGTTTTTAGGCGTCACATTTGGGCATGCGTTCCTGCACGTGTGGTTGTGAACACTGTTATATTTCTTGGGACACAATTGCAGAACATCTAAGTATGAAGCACTTGCATGCCTCGGGATAAAATTGGGTGATTTAAAGTGGCTTGTGGACACCAGACATTTGAAGTGATTTCTAAGGCTTTGGTATGCCTGCCAGATTTTCAATTGCCCATTTTTAATATGTTGGTTGCTCAAACACGCACAAAAGAATTGAAGACGAGGCTGCGGGGAAACAATAGATAATATATCTTTAGTTATTTTGTGCAGGGTATTTCAACCAGATTATCGAGTGCAGGCTATTAGTTTTGTATAATCTGGTTTAATAGTTGGTTTACTTACCTTAGGTCGTTGTCATTCATTCTTGTTACCGGGTCGACCTCATTTATCCTTCTTGCCATGTGCTACTTTTTCACTGATGTTGCTGGTTGGTGGAAYGGTGCACCTTTCTTTTACCCAGGTAAATAGATATTATCAATATCTTCTAGATTGAGATTTATTTCCAGTGTTATTTCAAATGTATTACATTAACGAACTTGAGAACTCCATTCATAACTGAGGTCAGCATACGAGAAAGTAACTTATACAATGCACAGTAATATTGTCGTCTTTCGACTGAAAACTATGGTTTTAATAGTTCTAAGTTCAAGTAGCTACCTAGTATAATATAGTGCCTGTCCAGTCTCATATTGCGATAATTACCTATATTACTAACAAGTTTTCTTATGTCTTCCTCTTCTGGACCATTTTCTCGATGGTATTTACCCGTACGTCATATTTATTTCATGCCACAGTGTCCTGTGTAAGGTATTTTTTGGGCCTGTTCTTCTGGAGTCCAGTGCTAATCTTGCAATAATTGGATATAACAGATCACCATCAAAAATTCTATTTGAGCTCACATTGTATTTGTTTTTAGGGATGAATTCTATTCTACTGTACGTTGGTTATGGCATACTGTACAATCGATTCCCCTTCACATGGAAAACTGACGAGTATGTCACGCATACAGAGAAACTATCCATGAATCTCCTGGCAACGGCCCTTTGGGTCCTCATTTCATATTACTTGTTCCAAAAGAAGTTTTTCCTGAAAATATAGTTCGACTTTTAGTTTGATCTAGTGCACACCTTTTCAGTATTTCTACCTATATT